CTGGCGTGGTTATTGGCAGGAATTGATTGAAACTTTAGCATGGGCTCATGAACGCACACCTTTGGCAAATTTGATTCGCTGGAAAGATAAACCAGTAGCTCTTTCAATCGTGCAAGCAAGATTGGTTGGATTAGCTCACTTTTCTGTAGGTTATATATTCACTTATGCGGCTTTCTTGATTGCCTCCACATCGGGCAAATTCGGTTAATTATTTATGTATTCTATCCGCAATCATATATTTTTTTTAATAAAAAAAATATAGGTATGCACTCTTATATTTATTTCTACATCTAGGATCCGATTTGTATCATTATCATTGATAATAAGAGGAACTGAAGCATTATGGCAAAGAAAAGTTTGATTTATAGGGAGAAGAAGAGGCAAAAATTGGAAAAAAAATATCATTTGATTCGTCGATCCTCAAAAAAGGAAATAAGTAAGATTCCGTCGCTAAGTGAGAAATGGAAAATTCATGGAAAATTACAATCCCCACCGCGTAATAGTGCACCTACACGTCTTCATCGACGTTGCTTTTCGACCGGAAGACCGAGAGCTAACTATCGAGACTTTGGACTATCTGGACACATCCTTCGGGAAATGGTTCAGGCTTGTTTGTTGCCAGGGGCAACAAGATCAAGCTGGTAAGGATTTAAGTATCCCTTAATTTTTCTATTTTTTTATATGATCGATGAGGCCCCTTTACCATTCTGTCTAAATAGGCTATTCTATTTGTACAGATATGGAATAGGGGCTCCTTCAATTCTTCTTTGTTTATTAGAGTTTAGTCCAAGTTTTTTTGTTTCAGCGCGGGGTAGAGCAGTTTGGTAGCTCGCAAGGCTCATAACCTTGAGGTCACGGGTTCAAATCCTGTCTCCGCAACATTTTTTTTTTCAAGAAATGTAAGTTTGATTCTACTAACTAGTCATTAATTAATACGTGTCTTTTGGGACGCGAGGAAAAAATTACTATATTTCCCGGTCAACTATACCGAATCTTTTATCTTTTTGAATCCATTTATATTTGGGCGGATAGCGGGAATCGAACCCGCGTCTTCTCCTTGGCAAGGAGAAATTTTACCATTCGACTATATCCGCATTTTTTGCCCTTCTTGATAATAAATTTATGGATAATATTTATTCAAAGCTAGACGAGATACACTCTTTGGTTTGGGGTCATTTCATAAAATTTTACCAGCAAATAAATTCAATTAACAATTCTATTAATATATATAAATATATATATTAATATTATATATTAATATTATATTTATTCTATATATTTATATTTAATATTGAATTCCATATTCAAGTTCAAGAATATATGATTCTTCTATTTCCATAAAATATTATATTCTATATTGATATCAGATCTCAATTTTTTATTCGTTTTTTTATTTATTTTTTTTATTACTATTTCATATTTAGTAACTATTTATTAATCTTTTATTCATATTTAATTCAAGTTCCAGAAGTTCGACCCCCCCTCTAAATTTTTCTTTATTTGCATTTTATGGACTTATATTGAATTTGAATGTGTAATTCATGGAATGGGAGGGGGTCATCTCATTTTTGGATCTGCAACGAATGAATTCAAGAGATAAGAGAATTAAGGATACCCACCAAGAAGACTAATCCAATCCATAAAGATGTACCAGAAAAAACAACATTTTTGTTACTCGACCAACCATCAGGAGACGCAAATACAACGGGTACACTAATCAGTAAGATTGATGAAGTAATAATTAATGCAAAAACAGCCAATTGGAAAGCAATAGTCATGTTTTTAATCCTCCAAGCTATTAACAAAAGAATATACACCATTTAATCCTCTTACCCACTAAAAAATTTTAATAGATAAAGGGATTTTATCATGAATCCGTTGATTCGAGATGACTTAGTTCCAATTTATTTTTACCACTTTTATTCTATTCGGACATGAAGTTAAAGGTTCTTTTTGACTTCACAAATGGGTATACTGGATCGCGTATCTCATTTATTTATATAGCCAGATTTATAGACCTATTAAAGAAAGTCACACCCTATATCTTTCTCTACATAGTGATCGTATTAACTCATAGGGCTATGTTCTATTTGGCGAAAAAAAAATAAAATAGAAATTATCTTTCGGAGAGATGGCCGAGCGGTTGATGGCTCCGGTCTTGAAAACCGGTATAGTTCATAAAAATAACTATCGAGGGTTCGAATCCCTCTCTCTCCTTTTGTTGGATGAATCTATTTTTATCTTTATTGGCTTTTTTTACTTCTTAGCATGATAAATAAAGGAGAATGGCTCGGCTGGATAGTATAGCCGAGCCAGAAAAATTTAGATTGAATTGAAAGAAACAAAGAAGACTTTTAAATATGAACCGAGTTTTACTTTCCTGTTTTACCTACTACTTTAGTTAAGAGGAGTCATGGAAAGAACAGGTTCAAAATCACGATCAATTCCTTTTTCAAATCCCGCTGCCGCTGCCCGAGCCCTTCCCGCGTGCCATAAATGA